CAAAGAAGGACATGACTTGTACAAAGAGACCTAGGAGCTCTGATACATAATTCTTTGAAATTTGTGTCACAGGTTGACAGGATGGTTAAGAAGGCATTTAGCATGCTTGCCTTCATTGCTCAGACCTTTTGAGTCTAGGAGTTGGGACGTCATGTTGAGGTTGTATAGGATGTTGGTGAGGCCTCTTCTGGAGTACTGTGTGCAGTTCTGGTCACGCTGCTAGTGGAAGGCAGCTTTTAGAAAAGATTTACCAGAATGTTGCCAGGAATGGAGGGTTTGAGATATAAAAATAAAGCTGGGACTTTTTTTCACAGGAGCTTAGAAGGCTGATCTTATTGACGTATAAAAAAAATCAGGAGGGGCATAGAGAAGGTGAATAGCCAGGGTCTTTTCCCTAGGGTGGGGGTAAAAAAAAAAGTTCAAAACTATGGTACATATTTTTAAAGGTGCAACGAGACAGACTTAAGGGGTAACTTGAGGGGCAACTTTCTTAAAAAAAAGGTTCATGTGTGGAATGAACTGCCACAGGAAGTAGTAGATGCAAGTACAGTTGGAGGGGTGGCAGGATTGCCTTATAATTCACTGACATATCAAAAGTTTTATGTACCAATAAAATAAACGGGGCAGTAACCATTTTGCACTAAAATGTCATTCATCACTGATTCAGTTTACAATAATTTTTTTTCAAAACCGCTTAAGTGTTTCAAACCTATACTAATGCTGGATGGTTTAAAAAAAAAGATTAAAAACCATAACAGGCTTTACAAAAAGCAATGTCTGGAATTGAATAATAGATTGGTCTTTATTGAACTACTATCACAGTCGTAAAGTTTAAAGAAAACCCGAAGCCTTATTTTCATATTGTGATAGTCACTATGCAATTAACTATATATTACACAATAGTGTTTGAAACGAATTGCAAATCTCAAAACTTCAAATACTTGTTGCATATCCAAAGTACTGGGTTTATTCCAGCAATCACATGGGCAGGAGAACTCATTTGAGAAAAATGATCCACATAGATAACCCAGACTGCAAAGTACTTCATGTAAATTAAACAAAATGAAATATTTGGTGTCAATTAATAATTCCTGCATGAAGCCTTCTTAGTATGAAACCATAAATTTCTACCGTGGACAGAGTACAGATGTCAGGGTACTGGAAGAACATTTAAATTAGCCCCACATCATCAAAACCTGGAGGTCATAAACCATACTTTATAAAATATTTGTCTTCTGAAGTGTGGAAACTAAAACAGGATGATAGACCATGTAGGGAATGCTGCAGCACAAATTCTCACGTGGAATATGAAGGTGGATGAAGCAAAACTGTTGGGTAAACTAGCATCAATAATGAATGAAATTACTTGTTTCTCCCAACTAGCTATAGCATCCATCATAAACCAAGATGAAAATGAAGAGTTCATTCTTCTTATATTAAAAAAACCTGGCACATATTAAAAAAAAAGCGTACAGCGAGTGTAGGTAGAGTCGTAGTGATGTCACTGAACTAGTAATCCACAGCACCAGGCTAATGCACACATAGCAGCTGGTGAAATTTGAATTAAGATCTGGATTTAAAACGCTAGCCTAATGGCAACCACAGCTGATTGTCTTCAAAAACCCATCTGGTCCACTTATGCTATTTTAGGAAAGGAAATCTGCTGATTTTAACTAGTCTGACTCCAGTGGATGATTCTTGCCTGCCCTCTGAAACGGGCTAGCAAGGAACATATCTGCTAAAAGTCCAAAGAAAAGAATGAAACTGGGGAATGAAACTGGACAGACCACCCAGGAACCCAGAAGGAAATTATAAATGCAAATATATCCTTCCTCAACCAAAGTTCTCCTTATTAACATGTGTCCCCAAACCCAAGAGCACCAGTACTTCATAAAGGCAGTTCACCAGCACCTTCTCCTGGGCAATAAGCACTTAGCTTTTGTTCCAAAAGCTAACATGACTAACAAAGTTGGAAACAAGAACAAAGTGGAGAATAAAAACAAGAGAAAGAAATAGATAGAAGGGCTGAAAGAAGGCAAGGTAGGGGTACAGTGGAGAGAGACAGACTGACACAACAAGATGATGCTCAACAGCCAGTTTTTTTTTGCAAAAGTGATTAAGGAAATGAGATGGAGCATCCAGTTTTCACTCAGGAAAATCAAAAAGCCCAACCTGTTTTAATGATAATAGAGAAACATTGACTAGAACAACAGGCTTAAAAAAATCCATGGGATTGTGGGTGTTACTCGCAAGGCCATTGTTGTTGCCCATCCTAATTTGCCCTTAAACCTATTAGTTTACTAGGTCATTTAAGAGGACAGTAAAAGTGAACCATGTTGCTTCAAGCCTGAAGTGACCTGCAGGCCAGCCTGGCAGATTTCTTTTCCTAAAGAACATTAGATAACCTGATGGGTTTTGTGACAAATGATAGTTTCGCGGTCACCATTAGGAGCTTTCAACTTCAGATTTTATGAATTGAATTTAAAATTCCATCAGCTATGGTGGGATTTCATGCCCAATGACATGGACCACCACATTATCTTCATGATGCGATCTTTTATTTCAACAGACAAACATTGGTTTAAACATCTAATCTGGGCAAAAAAAAAAAAAGGACATCTCAAGCAGCATGACACACATTATGCACTGGTGTCAATCAGGTTACATGCTGAAGTTTCTAGAGTGGAACTTTACAGAGAGGCATATTTGCCATCACTGAACCAACAGAATTTCAGAAAGGCAGTGAGCGAGAAACAGACTAAAGAAAGGGAAAAAAAAAGAAAAAAAAAGTTATAATACAAGCAGACATTTCAGGACATGTATTCATAACCTGTGGAGAATTGTTTTGGTGGAAAATTTCACAGCCACTGACCTGTAGCAAAGCTTCAAATGTCAACTATTTTACAAATGATTAACATTTTTCTTTAATTAACAAGTCATTACTGACCTAATCACCATATACAAGAAGTTGCAAATGGGTGTAATTACAAAATTTCTGAAAGCATACTGCCCAAGATTAGGTCAGAAAAGCACAGTTTGAATGGGGCATTTCCTGATCTTATTTTCTAAAAAGGATTAAAAAGGTGAATGTAAACGGGTACAGATGTAAATATCACTTTTTTTCCCAATATATACTTCCCAATTTACACAATGAAAAAGTTAAATGAAGCTTTTTGCTGTTAAATTTAAGGTAAACCCTTTATTACAATGACATTGGGTATACAAGATTAAACGGACATTAAAAAGGAGGGGCATTCCTGTTATAAAAATGGCACATTTATTGCTACATTACTGTTATATACATGACAGTTCTCATTAGCTACTAAGACAAAAGGAAATGATTTAAACTACTTTTCTGAATACTCCAGCCAGCTGTTTTGATGCTTGTACAAATACAAAAAAGAAAACACAAGGAACTTGAGGCACTCAGCAACACAATCAGAAATCTAATTGTGCAACATTTAAGTACTGTATGGATGCTAGAAGAAGCATTGCCTAAAATGTAGTAAAATAAACTTCTGGAATCAGACATCGAGTAAAAATCTACAAAAAGTAACATTCAGAATCCAAGACATTTTCAAGATTTATGGTATAAAAGGATCGTTGTTGTGAAAATAAGCCAACTTTTTTCCTTAAATTTCACTTTGTAAGGGTATACTGCAAGTCTTTTCTTAGCAAAAAAAGCACTAGACAAAAAAGAGGCTTTTAATGAAATGTTAGGCACTGGTCATTTTTCATTCTGTTCACATTGCATCACAAGTACAAGAATGAAAAGGCCACATGTAATTTTTTTAAACTATTACATACATCTGCAATACTCAAAATGAGCTGAGAAATGTCACTGCACAATACTTAATGCAGTTCTAGAAATGTCAGGCATATTACCCTAAAATGTCAAAAACTTTGTTCATTCAGTTCCATGGTTTCATTGCCCGTTTTCCACTTGTTCACATCTTTTTTTCTAAAAAGTAAAAAAAAAAGTTATGTCAAAAGTACTGTGTCTTCTGCTTGGCTGGTGAAAGTCTGTGAATATGTTCAGTGGAAGACTGATTCCGTGTTTTATTTGTAATGGGTTCTTTTCCACAGTACACAGGCTGCTGCAGAAATGAATTCAGCTTGGCATGATGCAAGCCACGGATACACAAGTTGCTCACATCCTTATTAGATTCCACAACCAATTCATATGAATTTTAAACATTTTGAACAGTTCATTGTGCAGGAATCCTACAAAAAGGAGGAAATTTTTCCCACTCTTGAATAAGTCCATGACAAACCTATAGTCATAGAATACCTAGAATCTGCAACATTTTCTGTTGCAACATGGAAGTCTTCAAAGACCTTTCAATTTCTAAGTACACATTATGCCCAGCTACCTTAAAAAACTACAATGTAAAGTCTAATAATGCAAAAATATAGTTTTGCTCATTTTACATAAAATAACTCCCTACAAATGAATGAACTAGCTTTTGTAATGCACTCATTTTGTTGGCCCTCCAGATATACCTGATCATACAGGCAGGGCAAGAGAAGATCTGTAGAATATTTTGTCCATTGGCTAACAATTCCTCCCAGCCAACTACCAGGGAGATATGGAGTGGTTGAGTGTCAATTGAGTAAGACAAATATTTTTGCTGGGAATGCTGCAAACCAAGGACACCAAAAGTTCTCTTTTTAAAACAAAAAGACCAATTGCTTACAAAACAAGCAAAAAAGGACTTCTGAAATTTTGTTCCAAAACAACCTCACATCCTTGTAAGTTTCATTAAAACATACTGGGATTTAAAATAAGCTTAGGCACTAACTCCTTTTTTCCACTGTGGGGAAGATTTTTTCTTTGGGCTGTAGAAAAAACCTTTTTGCAGCACAGAAATCCAGTACTTCAACGATATATGTCGACTTTCCCCCCCCCTTTTTTAGATAGGTACAGCAAATGCATGGGTTCACATTTGCAATTCTGATCCAGAAAGGATTCATCAGTTTATCATCTTTTTGGCAGAACAAGGTTTCTTCCTTAAAAGAGAAAGATGACAGATGATGTGCACCCTCTTGCTCAACAGCTTCAGTTATACCAGGCAGAAGCAGCTGTGAGAAAGATAAAATAGTTAGGATATCTTACACGTTTTTACATTGTATTTGCAATTATCTACCCAATTTGAACTAAAAAGACTGCACTGATTTTTACAAGTGCATATATTGTTCAACAATCCAAATCTCCACAAGTGTTCACATATATGTTCAAAGCAAATAAGTAAATCCATTTTACACAATTATCAATTCTAAACTAAGGCAAGACTTTGAAAGAAAGTTGTAATTTTACTTGGGAAGAGTTAAAGCTACTGAATTGAAGTTTATTGTTATGAACTAAACAGCACACACAAAGAATAAAAATAGAAATTGCTGGAAAAACTCAACAATCATTGATTTAAATGGGGCAAGCTAGATGGTGCTAACCACTAAGCCAACGTGCCGTGGAAATTTATGGTTAGCACCATTTAGCTTGCCCCATTTAAATCAATGATTGTTGAGTTTTTCCAGCAATTTCTACTTTTATTCTTTGTGTGTGCTGTTTAGTTCATAATGATAAACTTCAATTCAGTCGCTTTAGAACTCTTCCCAAGTACAATAAGCTTCCACTGCACGTTGGCTTAGTGGTTAGCACTGCTGCCTCACGGCACTGGGGACCTGGGTTCGATTCCACCCTCGGGCGACTGTCTGTGTGGAGTTTGCACGTTCTCCCCCTGTCTGCGTGGGTTCTTCCGGGTGCTCCGGTTTCCTCCCACAGTCCAAAGATGTGCAGGCTAGGTGAATTGGTCATGCTAAATTGCCTATAGTGTTCAGGGATGTGTAGATTAGGTGGGTTTAATCGGGGGATGGGTCTGGGTGGGATGCCGTGTGGGTCGGTGTGGACTTGTTGGGCCGAAGGGCCTGTTTCCACACTGCAGGGATTCTACAGTCTTCTATGATTTATGAAGAAATTATATTCTCAAATGGAATCTTGTTCCAAGTTGATAAACTGCATATTTTGTTCAACTAGACAAATTCAAATTAGTCGGTCTTTTACACATTGAAAGTACTGCAAGAACGCAATTTGTACCTGTTATTGAACAGGATACTTTTAGTTATTTCAAAAAGCTCAAGGTTAAACAAGTATCACTCAACATTACATCCAAAGGAGATACAATACATTAATTTAAAATAAGTACTACCCTTTAAAAATTCTCTTTCCTATTCTTCTAAGGAAGAACTCCAAATGGAAGAATGTCCAAAATGTATTAGCAAAACTCTGGTTTGTAATCCAAAATACATTTCTTCAGACATGCACCAAACCTAAGCCACCAAAAAGGAGGCACTGCTTTATCCTATATCTGTGCAGTCTGAAGCAGGGCCCATTAGATCATTTATTGGGTCAAGAAGCCTAGACTTGTCGTATTTCTTCTGCTAAGCCAAGAACTCACCAAGGCAGACAGATGGCAGCAGAGGCTGACTACCTGGAGTCTATTTTATTTCAATAGTAATAAATGTACTGTCCCATCAGGGAGTTTTCACACCTAAACTGAATTGTACCAATTTGGATTGCTTATAAAACCTTATTCACATGGATTAAAAATCTGTTTCTCACTTTCCAGCATGCTACAGATTGGCATTTTACCTTCTACATGTGGCTCACTGCATTGTGATTATCTCCCAGACTAGGATGTGCAGCTGAAAGGGGCAGTGGCTGCTCTCCTACTACTGCAGATACCTTCTCCTCTTCCCTTCGTTTAAGGCAAGCAGCTTTAGGATTCAAATTACGTTCTAGAGAAAAAACAATGTGGAAAGAAAATACAAATCATAAAATTGTTAGAAATATAGCAAACCTTTGATATTCTTCACTACAATTCATCTTTCACAAAATTAAAAATATAAACATTGGAATAAAAAATACATCAAGATCTCTACCCTGCAATTGAATTCTTTTACAGATATTTAAATGACACTCATTGTAAAAGCACATAATCAAAGCATTATTTTGCTTCATGAGATCTGTAAGAGTAAACAAGTTTAATTCTGCTCACTACATACAATTTGTAAAGAAAATGTCAGTGCCAGATCAATGACTGATGACACAAAAGGCAATCTGACGAATATTTGAATTTTCAAACATGTAAGCCAGATAACTGTTCTTTTATTCAACATACAAATATTAGCCCAGATTTTGTAGCCAGTAGAACAATAACGGCCCTGACCTCTGGAAAAAGTTGTTCAAAGATCCCTACTTTGATGCCAAATCACGGAGACTGCCAAATGTTTAGTGACAGTAATGTTGTCAATTAGGACAAGCACCCAGTGAAATATTGTTGCAGAGAGGAAATCCATTAGTAAAAATTATTTCTCATTCTACATGAACTTTACAGGGAGCAAAATAAATGATTGGAACCTATACATTAGAAATTGAAATATTAGCTATGTTGAAAATATTAAAGACGTAGAATTTATATCATGATGGAAAAATCTGGCATTACACAAAGAGAAAACTAATTTTCCAGAACAAGAAAGGCTCATCAGTAGTCATGACTTAGAATGCTGAGAGAGAGCACACGAGAGGGGAGGGTCTGTTTCAGATTATTCAAGAGGAATTAAGAAGAGTGAGATAGTGGTGATTCAGAGTTCAGCTTACTAGTTATCAACCAAGAAAAGCTGTAGCATTAAAACACCTACTCCAGGTGAAAGCAAGTAGGAACTGAATCTTAATTCTGAGGATTACAGATGTGGGGGAATTGCCAATCAGAATTTTACATTTCCCGTGGAGTCAAATACATCGGGATTTCTGCATGGTCCCAACGTGCAATTCCAGCCTACGTTGCTGTAATGACCATCTGGCTATCAGAATATCTGATCATTAACAAAAAGGGGATTACAAAAATCATAATACAAATAATTTGGCATTTCCTGTAATTACCTTCACAATCCCTTTGCCAGACTGAAAACATCTACTACCATGCTCCACCTCAGATTAAATACCGTTGTTCATTAACATAAAGGCTTCAAAATGTTTTAATGGGAAGGGAACTGAGCTTTTCCTTTCAAACGTCTACTGTTCTTCCAATTTGGTTTCAGCAGCATAGATAGACAAATTTTCATTAAGTATCAGAGTCCAAGAAATGAGTTGGCAAGCTGTTCAACTATGAGGAAGAAGGATTGACAAACAATTTGAATTTGAAGTGTTAACATTAATATAAACATTTTGCAGCAGAAGTCCTGAGATTGCCATCAGAAGCAGGGACCCCAGCAATGTTGTCTTTGAATTAGGAAGATAACAAATACAGAGCTCAGAACAATCAAGTGATTCCACAGCCAACTGATTAGATCAAAGTTCTGCAGTTCTGCTATATACAGTTGTGAATCAAGAGCAATTAACTAACTAAAAAGAGGATGCTCAATGAACTTTCTCCATTCCCAATGACAGGAAAGTCCAGTGCATTGGCAGCATGCCTAGCAGAAGAGATGTGTGGGGGAAGCAAATCATCTCGGTTTCAGGACATGTTTACAATCAACCTTCAACTTTCATTTTTCTTCGGTCAGAGGGGTGGACATCTGTAATGATTCCATGTGCATCTCAGATAATGAAGCAATCTTGTACCGCATGAACAAGATGTGGGCAACGTTCAGGTTTGTACTCATGAAAGGCATGTAAGATAGGTCAGAGTAAGTCACACTGTTAGAGTGAGAGAAACTTGATGGGACTGAGAATGAGACAGAGTGAGCAACTGGGAATTTGGGCCAAAAAGGTGCTTTAATTAAAGGCTAACACCAAGGAATAAAGCGTGGGTTGAGAGGCTCACCTGTAGAGACCAACTGCAGCATGACATCACAAATGCAGGGAAAGCAGCTAATTGGTGGGTAGGTTTGGTCAGCATTTCTAATCTTTAAATTGAAAGTTCAGTATGTAGTTTGTGTTTAAGTTTTTAGACATTTTTTCTCCTTTTTTGAGAAATAGCTCTAAACTTCATAGCAAATCCATTCTTATTCTAGGGGTAACAAATAGTTTGTTTTAAAAAGAGTTAGGGGACAGGAAATCAGAACAGCCAAGTGAAGTGTATAACCTGTGGCATTTGTGAAGTTATGGGACATACTACATGTCCCAAGATAAACACATCTGCAGGAAATGTCACCAATGCAAGCTTGAACACTGTTTCAGAACTTGAATAGTGGTGGTTAGAATCACTGCTGAGCATCAGCAAACCAGAGGATCTGTGGATAGTACGTATATGGAGGTGGCCACACTACAGTTTAGAAGGTGATAGGCAGAGAGCTGAGGTGACTACCAGGCAAGTAGTGCAGGACTGCCCTGAGCCTAAATCATACATGCTAGGCAGCATTCCAATTTGGAAAGCGGAGAGGGTGACTGTTTCTTTGGGGCATGCAACTACAGCCAAATCCAAGCACCATAGGTGACTCAGCTGTACAGGGGTGGGGGAAGACGAATGGAAGAGCAATAATTATGAAGGATTCCATGGTTAAGGAAGCAGACAGGCATTTCTGTGACAGTAAACATGACTCCAGGATGCTCTGTTGTCAATGATGACACAAAGCAGCTGCAGAACATCCTTCTGGGAGAAGAGAATCAGCCAGAAGTTATTGTTGCTAACGATGTGTACAATATGGGTAAGAAGAGGGATGAGGTTCAGAAGGCAGGTTTCAGGAAGGAAATTTAAAAAGCAGGACCTTGAAAGCAGTAATCACAGGATTATTTCCAAAGCCACATGCTAGTGAGCACAAGAACAGGAGGAATGATCAATTAATTATGTGGCTGAAAAACTGGCGTAGGAGGGAGGGCATCAGTTTTCTCAGAATTGAGACTGGTTCTGGGGTGGGTGGCACCTGTACAATTGGATGAGTTACATCTTAATGGGATTGGATTTGATATTTTCAAAAAGCTATTTGCCAGCATTACTGTGGTGGGTTTAAACTAGTTTACCAAGGAAAGGGAACTTGAGGGATAACTTAAATCGGAAGACAGTAAAATTGGTAACAGGAAACTGAAAAGATGCCTGAGAGACTAGAAGAAATTGAGTATGCTTTGAAAGTAGAATGATACCAAGAAGACAAAGGTAATGGCATCTAAGTGCATGCAGCATTCACCATAAGGTGGATAATCCAAAAAAGTACAAAGAGATACATGGTACGATTTAATGGACATTACGGAAATTTGCTGCATGGTGACCAGGACTGGGAACTGAATATTCACAGATATTTGACATTTAAGAGGGACAGAAAGGAAAAAGGAGATGGACTTGAGCTGCTAAGGGATGGGTCAGTACATTAGTAAGGGAGGATTTCAAATTGTTCTTCCAATGTGTGGAATCTGTTTGGGTGGAATTAAGAACACAAGACCTAGAAGCAGTTCAACTAAAGGCAATTCAACCCCTTAAAGGCTGATCTCTCTCAGCCTCAACTCCACTTTCCTGCCCAATCTGCACAGCCCCTCACCCCATTATTAATTAAAAATCTATCTCCTCCTTAAATAAACTCAATGCCCCAGCATTCATTGCACTCTGTGGTAGTGAATTCCACAGATTCGTGACCTTTTGAGAAGCAATTTCTCATCTGTTTTAAAGCTGCTACCCCTTATCCAAAAACTATGACCTCTTGTTCTAGATTGCCCCACAAAACATCCTTTCTATGTCTACTTTGTCAATGTCCTTTAGCATCTTCTATACCTCAATTAGATCCCCTCTCATTCTTGTAAACTCGAGAATATAGACTTAAACTGCAAAATCTCTCTTCATAAGACAAACCCCTCATCTCTGAAATCAGAGGGTCAACAGGTATTGGTTGTAGTTATTTATGATACACGAAATAGTACAGTTCTAAGGATTATGTTATTAATCATGAGAGGAGAGAAGTTGGTAGCATGAGCAACACCGTTTTCATGGTTGACTTCAACATGCACAGTGAATAGGTAACCAATTGAGCTCTAAAGGATGCATTTCCAGACTATGGTAGGGACGATTTTCTACAGCAAAATGATGAGGAGCCAACTAGAGGACCTGCTATTTTAGGTCTACTTTTATGTCATCAAAAGGGCTAATCAACAGCCTTCTTGTAAAAAGGGCCTTTAGGGAGGACTGACCACAAATTGCTAGAACTCTACATTTTGTAGAAAGTGAGATAGTTTATTCTGAAGCAAAAGGCGTTTAATTTTAGTAAATAAGAATCATGAAGGCATGAAGTGCAAATTGGCTGAGGTTGATAGGGAAAGTACATTACAATGCATGACTGTACATAGTTCTTTAAAGACAATCCATTGACAGTTACATGATGTATAGCAACTGTACATTCCTTCAAGGTGCAGTAAAATAAAAAAAGTCAGTCAACTATGGCTAACAAGGCTTGCATAAAAGATTAAGAAAAGGCCTATAAAGTTGCCAGATGTAGCAGTAATTCTAGGGTCAGCAGAGCTATAGGTTACAACAAAAGGACCAAGATAATGAAAGGGAGAATAGGATATGAATGCAATCTAGCGAAAAAAAAACACTGTAAAAGCTTCCATAGGCACATAAAAAGAAGTCTGGCTAAAAGAATGTAGGTCCATTACAGGCAGAATCAGGAGAATTTATAATGAGCAATAAAGAAATGGCAGATAAGCCAAGTGATTACTTTGTATCTGTTTTCACTGAGGAAGGTGTCAGAAATGTTCCAAAACTAGAAATCCAAGTGGCTAGGGAGAATGAAGAGTTATAGAATCATACATACAGTCATACAGCATAGAAATAACGCTTCGGTCCAATTCGTCCATGCTGACCAAGTTTCCC